TTACACGGATCATTGGAAGTATACCTTAAATATTTTTATTAATCAAATAGTTAATTAACGACAGTTGAGATAATTATAGACATAAGATTCTTTTTTGAGTAGAATAATCAGATGATTTACTGTATTCTATTAACATTCCAGTCCACTACTGTTTTTATACAATCTGTATTATAGTGAGACTATAATTTATGGATGACCTATGAACAGTGTTAAAATAACCTTGAGAGTATCCACATACTAACTAGGACTAAACGAAGGTTATAAAGCAGTGTGAAGAAATAAAGTTATGATTTACAGTTGATAATTAGAATTAGGAACCAGATTTAGGGTTTTTATCACGAAGTGACATTAGCTAAAATGCTAAAAGCTATTAAGCTAAATGTACGAATGAATTTCGCGCCAAAATCCAAAACCTATTACCTTATATCCATGAATTATAGTTTCATCTAAAAAGCTTAAGAGATTAAGGTGTATTCATCAACTGTATTATGAATTCTCATCAGCTGCCTATCTATCTACTAATCGTAATTATTATTATTATTATTAAGATATTTAGATTGATTATATATAATTATTACAATCACTTCTAGATTGTAGGCAATTTGACAAGAATCCATGAAATAAACAAATCCAATCTATTCTATTACGTTTATTATCTTAAATTTATTTGGATTTCATTAAAATTCAGTAAAGATACCAGTAAACGTAATCAGATTCGAAATAAAGTAATCCTATTTCGTAAAGCTAAGAGTCTCACAACGAAATAGCTAAACACAGGTTAACAATAATAAAGGATGATACAATTTGGTATATATCATTTAAAAATAAAATAAACTGATGAAAATTATACATGATCTTGCGTAACCCTTCATCCATTCAGGATGGATTTCCTGGAGTTCTTGTGATAAATCGTGACCAGTGGAGTGCAATCTGTGTGAGCTAAAAAAAAGCTATCCACCTCAGACAATAGGGGAATGGTTACGCAAGGTTATGAATCGATTGAAGTTAAACGTGATCATCATCAAATACTGGCTCAGTGGTCTAGAAGTTAAGCATTTGCGTGCGAGACCGAAGATCCTGAGTTCGAGTCCCGTATATGTGATCGCAGGTGCGCACTGCTGAGGAGTTCCATACTAGAACGAAACGGCCATTTATTGCCTTGAAGGTTTCTACTGGTGGTCTAGCTTAGATCGGATCGTGAATTCAGTTGTTAGAATACTACTGTCTCCAAAAACCCATATACCCAAAATAATACAATCAAAATTAATGGGGAAGAGTCAGAGAAAAAATGTCATAAAATGAAGATAATGTTAAGATGGTAAGAAATGATTGTTTTTCATCACATAGATCAGGCTTAAGGTGTTTGGTTATTAAGACTACGCCCTAGTGTTCTTTGATCTACTAATCTCATTAAAAGATTTCGGTATATCAAACTGATGTACTCTATTTTGAAAAAGCACTGCTGAATTGTCGAGATAGATAACAATTGAAATAGATAGGCCATATACTACATGATTTTAAGCTCACTAGTGTGATAGTGAAGTTTTTTAGCATTTCAAAAGCCACGATATATCCTTGGTTATATTAATGAATGTAAAAAATTTTAGGTTCATATTCGAATGAAATGATATAGAAATATTGGAAAGAGGAAATAACTAAAAGACCAAAGACTTTATGGAACATGGAACTCAAGTCAATCAGCAACCAATAAACGTATGCAGATTGATCGAATTTTATCAAACAACTAGAAAAATCGCTGACAACTATTAGGTCGAAAATCATTTTAAACAAAAGAGCAAATAAAATAACTATGCAATAAGTGATAAGACAAGAAACAACAAACACCACTCAAGATCAATGTCAACAAAATAAGTTATTTGTTGTATGTAAAAAAATTCTAATGACTAACTTCTGTCTGAAGTTTTTACTGATGACCTTGCCCAGAAGAACGATGAATACTAAAAGAATAAACATCCAGACTCGGAATTCAAAACATCCCAATGTACTAACCAAGTTTTTCCTGGGTATTAACGTGGTTAATGACTTAATCTGACGCCATTTTACTCGATAAAACAACATCAGGATCATTTGTAAATAAATTTTTTTAGTCCAAGCTCAATTACAAATAGATAAACCTGAAATCATCGTTTTTATGAACAATCTAATTTTTCTGATTTGAAAAATTGTGACTAACAGTAGAATATAGGAAACGACCTAAGTCTTAGTTTGGACTTCTTATCTTTAAATGCTTATTATCATAATGTATTGATACTCACATTAAGTCTGTAGCTTTCATTCTTAACGCCCAACACGTTATCTATTGAGCTTTTGAATCATCATAAACAGTAACTTGTTAAAGTTTCCCGCATCATTAAATCATGCCGTGTATCATTCCTAAATAATAATAACGGGATAATTCAAGCTTTTACTAATTGTGACGTACTACTATAAATATTACTACTAATTATTTTTTATGCTTCATGATTATAATTATTATTGTTGTCATAATTATTGACAGTTGCATGCTCATTACAATCTTAACATTTCCTTGTGTCAAATTTGAATTCATTGGATAAATACTTCTATTAATTACTGTTGATATAGGCTGAATTTCAATATCGACTATAGTAATTTTAAAACTTTGACTTAGTCTTCTAAATATGGTCATAAAAATCACTTTTTTTGTTGTTGTGAACTCGACTTCCTCTGTACGAGTATCAGTATGGAATATTTGACATAAATTTATGATGATAAAAATGAATGACATTAAAGAACAAATGATTATTCAGTTTTCATTTTAATAGAAATTTAGTGCAAATACTTTAGCTACTTATAAGTAGTACGTAACAGATTTTGATTCACAACCTACATTAGTTGAGTAAGCAGAGATGGATAGTGGCTGGCAGTGGAATCCAGTTTGACGCGCGTTTCGTCCTATTTGGGACTCGTCAGCTGGATGTACCTGCATCTCAGAGTTGATGTTCACTATGGGACTCGAACCCAGTACCCTCGCTTCAAACGCCATCGCGTTATCCACTCGGCCACTGATTCCTGATACCCACTTGCTTGTGCGATGGGGTGAAGTTTGAATTCACTTAGTATTGTTTGTTTGGATTTTCCCATCGATGTGTTTAGGACTGCAACTGGTCAGTCTCTAATTAAGGTATATCGAGGCAATACGCACAGTATGCACATATGCCAATTAGAGACTGACCAGTTGCAGTCCTAAACACATCGATGGGAAGATCCAAACAAACAATACTAAGTGAATTCTACATTAGTTGGTTTCGATTTTGATATCATTTTTCTATAGAAAAAAATTTATATTTTATGGTTCATTTAAAGTAAATAAATCATAATCTCAAAGTTATCAAAAAGTAACCATGTTCTACAACCGGACATTATAGTTGATAATTATAAGCAGTCTTGTATCCATCCATATAAAATACAGTTAGTTAAACAAATACCGAGAAATCTCGACATTTCATAATAATCATGTTGTAGATGTTAGATCCTCAGAACTCACTTGATAAATGACTTATTTTTGTAATTTTATTTTGAAAATTCGAATTTCTTTGTTTTCGCTCCTAAGGCGCTCTTTACACTTTCATATCTTATTTCCCACTTGAGAAAATCTTAAACGCTATTGATCTGTTGTTTCATTCAGTATGCTATTATGTAACGCTTCCCATGGACAATTTTATGCTGTATATATACGTTTGATTTCTATCTGTTGCGGTTGCTTATGCTTCTGGCTGCTTACGGAATATATCTTCTTTACTTCCAACTTGGACTTCTCACTCTAGTTAGCGGGTCTGGGACGCGTCAGAATAGATAGCTTATTGGTCTTTGGTTACAAGTCTTTGTTCCGTTTTCGGACTAGATAAACCCGTAATCGATCTAAACATAACAAATCAATGATTCATTTTATTTTAATTGAGGTCTGGCACAATCAGCTAACATATTGTGTTAGACAGTATCAGTCAAATCAAACTAATATTCTATATGACAATGGATGTAACATCCAAAAATTGATGTTCTTTTTACTTTAAAATGAGATGTCACTATATTTAAAAGTACTTAGTTTATTCTGAGACATTAAATAAGAATAATATCTTAAGAACATCTCAGCGAATGAATTTGAAATAAATCAAACGTTTTGCCTGGCAATTTGGTCCAAGCTTTTTCAAGGAAATATTTCCTGAAATTTTACAAATATATTATTCCTATTTAATGTCTTACATCAACTCGACGTCCAAATACTGTGAAACTATTCGCTCTAATTTAGATGAAAGTTCTTATTTATTTGTTTATTCTGGCTAACAATGTTTTTTCCTTTAGAAAGGTTATGTTCTATGAGATATGATTGCAGATTATACGTCCAACTTTTCTCCTTTTACCCAGGCTTGAAACGGGAAATAACCCTGAAAAAGCTAAATGTGAAGTTTAAATTGACTTAGTATTGTTTGTTTAAATCTTCCCATTGATGTTTTAGGACTTTAACTGGTCAGTCTCTAATTGGCATATGTGCATACTATGCTTATTGCCTCGATATAGCCTTGATTCACAAGCATGGTAAGCAGAGATGGATAGATGGATGTACCTGCATCACAGAGTTGATTTTCACTCTAGGACTCGAACCCGACTGACCAGTTGCAGTCCTAATCATCAATAGAAAGATCCAAAAAAAACAATACTAAGTGAATTCAAACTTCACCCCATTGCACAAGCAAGTGGCTATCAGGACTCAGTTGCCGAGTGGATAACGCTATAGCGTTTGAAACGAAATGTACTAGGTTCGAGTCCAAGATTGAACATCAACTCATCCAGCTGACCAGTCCCAAATACAACGTAACGCGCGTCAAACTGAATTCTACTGCTAGCCATTATCCATGCTTATATGTGATATTATTCTTAAAATAGATACAACTTTTTAAATAGATAATCTCTTATTTATTTTAATACTATTTTTTTTTTAAAAAAATTCTACTTTTCTATAGATCAATGGTGAAATTCGTCCAAATTCAATATTTACTTGTTGGGAAATTTATCCTACATTATTTAAACCAAAATATTTGTGGCTTAATGATGATGATACTGTTGATGATGAAGATAATGATCCAACAGCCGAAACATTCTCTCAAATTGATATCAATAATTTTGATGAAATTGAAAATGAACCAAATATTCAATCAACAAATTTATTCAATTATCCATATAAATTAATTATGAATAGAATGTTTAAATTAATAAAACCGGAAATCGATAAAACTATCTTACCTGAAAATTATTTAACATCTATGGTAACATTTAATATAACAAATCGTATGATTAATTGGTTAAAATATAATAGAAATAATCAACCATATAAACCATTTATACGTTATATAATGATAATATGTAATGATTGTAATCATGAACAACAAAATATTATTGATCCAAAAAAGGTAATTTATTATATTGAATATATGAATTAATTGAAGCTAAACTATCATGAAAAATTTGAAAGCACTGGACGGCTGTTTCCACAATAGTGGTTGAAGTTAGACATTAACACTGTTGGATACCAACCAGCTCAGTGGTCTATAGGTCAAGTGCTCGCGCATGAGACTGATAGGTCTTGGGTTCGAATCTCACGAGTGCGGGATCGTGGATCCGCACTTCTGTGGAGTCCTACAATAGGACGAAATGGCCGTCTAATGCTTACAAGTTTTCCATGGTGGTTTAGATTCCATTAACTCATGATTTCAAATTTATATATTATAAAATATGTTTATTTTTTCTATTATGATTTGATGTGTGTTTGTTGGGATGATCCTGAAAATTTCTCGCAATCGATATGACAAGCTCAGGAAACATTACTTAATTACTTACGCCTGTTACGCCTCGTGGAGGAGCATAGGCCGTCCACCAGCATTCTTCATCAAACTCATCCTGGGCAATCCTTTCCTGTTGTTATTTATCCTTTTCATATCTGCTTATTCCTTCAACTTCCAGGGCAGAGTTTAAATGGTTTGAATCACTTTTTCCGGTTAGCGTTTTTTAGCGAGTTAGTTTTTCTACGGTATGGGGTCGCTAACCCCATGCCCGACCCTCCTCCTTTATCCGGGCTTGGGACCGGCAGTACCTTTAGAAGAGCTACAGGCGGAGTTTCAGGAAAAACTAAGAAGCATTTTATCCAATCAGCGTTTGATTAGAAGTACTACTAGAAATATTGCAAAAATGAAAAGTCAGATGTAGACGTTCTGATTTAGCTGATTACTACAGTACTACTATGTTTAGTAGTATTTTAGAATTTTTAGGGAAACCCAAGGATTTCTAAAATGCTATAAAAACCCTATATTTTCTGTACATAAATGAACCTATGGAGTAAAGTGTTTCCCGCGAATTTCATGATTTTTCTCTCGTGTTCAAGTTGCTGTGTAGATTTATCTTGAGTATTATGAGACTAGTTAAGGATCCGAGTATAGCGTTCAATCAACAAGACCTATCAGTTTAGCAAAGAAAAGAATAAACGTAAGAAATAAACCTATAGATTTTTTTGTACCTTTGTTTTTGTACCTTTTATAGTTCAAATCATGAGTCAATTGAATATAGACCACCATGGAAAATTTTGAAGCACTGGACGGCCGTTTCGTTTTATTGTGGGACTCCTTAGCAGTACGCATCCACGATCCCGCCTGGTGAGATTCGAACCTAGGACCTATCAGTCTCGCGCCTGAGCAGTTGACCGATCGACTTAGTTTTTTTCAACTCCACCTGTGGCTCTTCCGGGGTCTGCTGACGGTCCCAAACCCGAAAAAAGGAGGACGGTTGGGCATGGGGCTAGCGACCTCATTCCGTAAAAAATTTACCGGCTAAAAAAACGCTAACCAAAAAATTAGTTTTTGTCACGAAATAATACCGTTTAAATGGTGGTCTTAAACAGAGAACTGATATCAATAACTATTAAACTTGAGAATATTTTACGAATACACATTCATAATTTGTGGGGGGAACTTGAAGAGTTTACTGTGTCTTAAAAAAGGGTTAATGTAATGTTTTTTGGAACGAATTTAAGTTATCGTAACTGCAAATTAATCTCAGAGTATAATATTTTGCATATATGACACTATCTTGGGATTTTGGAAATTGAAAACTTGAAACATTTGTTTAATAATATAATTTGATGATTGCTTCTTCATAAACTGAAATCGATCCCCCATCGTTTGGAACTACATTCAACCCAAAAAGTATATGCCCCCACTTACCCATCAGTGTCTAATCATCGTTTAAACCACCGATTTTAGATAAACCACAGTTGGAAATCTGGAAGCACAAAACGGCTGTTTCGTCCTAATATAGGACTACTCAACAGTGCCCATTCAAAATCTTTTACCCGAGAGTCAAAAACAGGACCTTTATCCTTGTTATAATTGTATTTGCTAATAAACGACCCAGCTATTCCTATTGCTTAGTATTCTTATACGATGACACTCGACAAGACCCCAAAATCAGAACACGTTGAACAGGAATGAAATTGTATTCAAAATAATAATGATCAGTGGACAGCAATCACTAGTTTGAATAACGTTCATATATTTATAGTATATACATAAGAAGCTTCTAGATTTTTCTCCAATAATATGCCCGGGCTGATCGGTTTAGAATTAGTCAATCAGCTCGCAGCAACACCATCATGCATGAAATATGCTTTAATCCAATCTATGTCCCACTAACAATCCTCGATTACATAGGTTTAATTTCTATGCTACTACACCGGCAACCACAGGTGCTTTAATGGTGGTCAGGCTAAAATTATGTCATGATTTAAACTGTGAAAATTCTACAATCTATTATGCTAAGAACCTCGTATTCATTTTCAATTACATTAGCAAGTTATCAAGAGTTGTATTTCTATTTTACTATTTTTATATTTACAAGGTTGTTATGGAAATTAAATACCGTCCACGTTTAAAAAGACAGAGGCGTTCATTAACTAAAGGAGATGAGACAATATACAATGTATGTCGTTCTAATGGACACCATTATAGTTGTTGTACACAACCATTATCTGTTAAATTTTCTGATATTGGTTGGGATAACTGGATTATACACCCGAAAAGTTTTGAACCGAATTATTGTCGAGGATCCTGTAAAGGTACGTTACTATGATTTTCAGTTGTGTAATAATGTTAAACATAATTTTTCTTAGGTCAGCAAAATAACGTTAGACGTGTATTTTGGCCTATTTTTATTTCACCAGCCAGGCTTACCTGATTGCTGATATCAAGGTTCACACTGAGCTCTGAAAATTGTATTTACCACTCCAAACATTAAGCAACTGAATATCGATCGCCACTAAACTTTTTAAAGATTATGATCTTCTAGAAATACTAATACGTCTCTAAACATAATCATTTTTAATCGTAGTTCCAGAAAATGTTTTTAGATAGACTTCTCAATTACTCGAGTAGATAATTATTGAGAATATTCGCAATTCGTATTATTATTTAATTGATCGACTCACCGTTTACAATATGAAGAGATTTTTGTGATGAATTCACTAAGATGTTCCTTGTTAAGCACATCTAATACTTTGTGGATTGATTCTATTTTACAAAAGTGCTCGAATTTCGCATCATCTCTGATATTCGAACAGTAGTATTCTTTTCTGACTTTCAATGAATGCGAACATACAATTTGATTGTTATTAGTCTTTCCAATAGACTTTTGGGGATATTAAAGGAAAAAATTACTGATTTTTGAATTACTGGTCATTGTTGATCAGCGATCCTATACCAAATAATTTGTTTAGTCTAAACAATTATTTTATTATTATCAAAAAGGGTTCTGTGGATATTAGAGTAATTTAAATAGTTCAGTTCATGAATCGATTGAAGCTAGATCGTGGATGCGCACTGCTGAGGCGTCCCATATAGGGACGAAACAGCCATCCGGTGCTTCCAGGTTTTCCATGGTTGTCTAGCTTCAAGTGACTCATGATTTCAACTATTAAAATTATTATAATATCCACAAAAGCCCTTCTGATATTAATCAACATATGCTCATTAGTGACAGGCTTCAAGAGGTATTTCCTGGAGTTTTAGAGAGAGGCAGTGATCAGTGGAGTTCAACCGGGTCTTTAATGATAAAGTAACTCAATGAAGACAATAATGGATGTGACACTCAATTTCGTGAATCGGTTGAGGTTGAACATTAACACTGTCGCTTACCGGCTCAGTGGTCTAGAGGTTAACTGCTAGCGCACGAGACTGATAGATCCTGTGTCCGAATCTCGAGGCGATCGTGGATGCGAACTGCTGAGGAGTCCCAGAATAAGACGAAAACGCCGTCCAGTGCTTCCAGATTTCCATAATGATCTAGCTTCAATTGACTGATGATCTCAACCTTTGGAATTATTTTATTTTCCAAAAAATTTAAAAAGTATTTCTTGTATCCTATTTATCATTTTATTTTTTATCACTGATGTACGTCTTTTTCTTTCCATTCTCTAGTCACATCAACAAAAAGTTTACACTATGATGTTATGGATTTATTATTACGTAAAAATTTATCACAATTTGGTAATGTTCAACGTGATGAAGTACAATCTTGTTGTCATCCAACTCAATTAACTAGTATGTCTGTTTTATATTTAGATTCAAATCGTGAATTACAAATGCATACTTTACATAATTTAATTGTTTTAGGATGTGCTTGTAGTTAACACTTATTATTCATTCCTATTGCAAGTTCTAGTTACATGTCTACATATGTGTAATGTTGTTAAGTTATTCTGTTGTTGTTCCCCTTCAATCTATTGACTATCTCTTAAACCAATGCTTACATTGGGAATATGTAACGTTATGAATATCCTATATATATATATATATATAAGATATTGCCTTTTTATTTGTATGTTGTGAATAGTTTTATTTTCAATGTATCCATTCTTCAATAATTATTGAATCTTGAACACAATGAACTAAAATTCAAACAATAATACAAATCAATTATATATATTCAGGAGTTAAATAAATGTCGTCGTTTTGTTTCTATTCATTCATTGACTAGCACATGTATAAGATATTTTTTTTTTGGTAACTTCTAAAAATAGAAAAGAAAAAAAGAAACTGTCATAAACCTCTCATATGATTTGGTTATTTGAGCTGATTACTTTTTTTGGTAAAATTATTTTTGAACATACTCAATATTGAACGTACACACACACACACAGAAATACATATTTCGTCGTCGTCATCGTCATCATCATCATGATTCATTGTCTTTTTCTATTTAACCTAATTCTAAATGTTAAATGAAATGTCAGTAAATATTTTTGTGTTCTGTTTAAATGTTTACAACCATTTTATTTATTTATTTGTTTTTTTTATTGTATTCACATTTTTTTTCGTTTGTTTGTGTTTGTGAAATGTGAAACCATATTCAATTTTATGTGTAAATTTTCAATATATAGAAGTGAAAAAAAAGCGATCAAGTTTATCCGTAACGTTTCGATGTTGAATAAGTATATTACATCCAGAATCTTAAGGTATTGTTTTATTTATAGTTGAAATCATGTTTCAATTGAAGCTGGAGTACCATGGAAAACCTGGAAGCACTAGACGACTATTTCGTCCTACTGTGGGACTCCTCAGCAGTTAGCATACACGATCCCGCCTCGAGAGATTGTTTTATGTTCATTTGGTGGATGAATTTCGTGTATTAGCCAGTAACGTATAACTAAACACATCATATATATATACCTATTTTTATACGGTATGCTGCCATGAGCGATTATTTGATTTAACTAAGCAATATCAAACGGAATCTGCCATGAAATCCAGAACAATTATTCATTATAATTAACTAGTTTAGTTTGTCTTTTATAGATTATTCATGCGTACATCCTGAGATAAATATTGCAGACAAGAGTTGAACATTGTAAGGGACATTTAATATATATCAGGGTTTGCTTCAGTATACTAGATTATTTATGACAACAGATATCATTCAAATTTTCTAATATACACTTAAAGTTTCTCTTATCAGTCTTGATAGGTTGGTGACTGACGAAATCTCGGCACGGATTTATAAAGCTTGATTGACCTTTGGTAATTTGCGTCTGCAACCAAAGGATGGACAATAGTTCGTTTTGTTGTACTCCATGAGCGTGAAACATGGTTATCGACAATAGAGGTTATTCTTAGGTTACTAGGATTCGATCACAGGTGTCTTCAAAGAATCACTCGTGTATTTTGGGACTACCAAGTGAGCGACGCCGATATAAGGCATAGGGTGAATATGACACTTCGATTGATGAGGTAGTGAAACGTCAGCAACTGCGTTGGTTGAGATAAATGTTAAGTATGTCCAAACACCGACTACGTTGACGGGCGATGTAGCGTTCTCTGATCTGGACCATTTAAGCATAACACGGGGATCCTCGTATTGAGTCATACATTCTCTCCTCTATATTCTGTTAGTCTGATTTAGCAACTTAACGGTTCCTAAATACCTAACTAACTATGCGAGAAAAACCGGACTAAGGTTCGTGGGTGGCTATGCTGTTAAAACTGAGTCCGTATAGAAGTCGTACATATTATATGATAATTGAGTACTGGGAACTGAGTTACATGAGGGACGATTTATTCTAGACGCCTAACAAACAATAGGCCCTTGTATTTACATTTCTTATTTGCCATTATGGCAACACGTGGTCCGTCTGCTCATGCAACAGCATAACATATATCTGGGTTTGTAAAATGGAAAACTTGAAAAATTAAGTCATTTCATTTATTCTAGAATCACTAGACATTCTATATCAGTAGGACACAAATATATTGATGTCTAACAACTTGAATTAACATAATTCTATCAATTATTACTATGCTTTGGTGAAGATATCTTGACAAACGTATACTATGAGTCAACCAGATTTAAGATGGCACCTTTTAATTTGTTACACAAAATTAAAAACCTAATGGCTAATAACTTATTGAAAGCTGCCAATATCTAGTTCTTAAAATATATTTTATCCAATTGTACAGTTAATGCAATATGGTGCATAAGTTACGTTACAAAGAATAACTGATTATAATGCACATTGTATGTGTGTTTGATGTGACTTAATGAGTAGACAGGGATGCTTTTGTAGATAAAAAGTATTCTCCCACCCTAACGTATAACGCTCTTAACCCAGTCTCATAACTCTACACTGACTTCCAATGCCAAAACCCAACCTTTTTCCGTTTACTATCATAAATAATCCAATAATATGAATGTTCATTAATCATGTGAAAACTGTTTACTAAACGACTTTCACGTAACTGCTGTTTTTCCATTGGTTAATAAATCCCTCAAAGTTTACGATATGAGATGTTTTTTACGAATATTACATTATTACTGTTATCTCGGATAGCTATTCTAACATTGTATTCATTATACATCCAAGACGTTCTACAATTTAAAACCCCATAAACTCAATATAATTAATCAGTGTTGATTCTATATAAAATCTATGAAATATTGTAAAATTGTCAGTAGTGGACACCCACAACCCACCAGCAATCGAAACTAGGAATGCAAACCATTGTACGTTGACCCGATGAACTAAAGGTTAATCGTTCATCGCGAGATCTGAAAGTCCTAGCTTCAATCCCTGTCAGTGGGGTCATGGATGTATACTGCTGAAGATTAACATACTACGAAGAAACAGCTGTACAGTGTCTCCTAATTTACAATTACTGTTCAACTAAAGTCAATGTTGTTGGGGATGTCAAATTTCCAGAACTTACTTGGTAAATGGCTTAATTTTGTAATTTTATTTTGAAAATTTGAATTTCCTTGTTTTTGCGCCAAAGGTGCTCTTTTCACCTTCAAGTCGTATTTCCCACTTGTAAAATATCTTAAATACTATTGGTCCGTTGTATCTTTGAGTGTGCTATTTTGTAAACCTGACCAAGGACAATTTATCGTTGTACATATATACGTTTGAGTTTTTCCCCTTATGATTTGCTTGTACTCAGCTGCTTACGAAATATATATATTCCCCTACTTCACCTTGAACTTCTTCGAGTTAGCGGAGCCTGGGACGACGGATTAGATTAGCTTATCGTGTCACTGTGCCATTGTCCTTCGTTCGTTACCGAGAAAATCAATTTAGCTCAAGCATATCAAATGTCATATTAACTATGCAAACTCTTTATAAACCTCTTATACTCATATAAATCATATATTTCCTATATATAAAAAAAGACCGAATCGACTGCATTATGTCGACAACAATTCAGCATCGATATCACTAATACAACCAATGATAAAATCACACATACACACACAAAATGAAACAAATAAATATAGCGGTAAATAAGACGAAATGTAAGAAAAAAAAGATCGTCTATTTTCAATAGTGAAATGTAATATTCTTAAAGGCATTAAAGAAAATGAAAGTTATGAATCTTAGACGAGGGCTACATTAATTAACGTTGAGAATGGAACAAAAAGTAAAATGAATAAAATATATTAGAATGAATATTCAAAATTAATCAGTGAAAAAATAAACGTAAACCACTATTAAACAATAACAATGACAGTAATGATGATGGTGTTGAAGATGATACAGAAAAAAAGTCACTTCCTAAAATTAATAAGAATAGGTTCTTCTTTTTAAAATTATTAAAAAAATTATTGGTGCTTCGTTACATTTCATCTGATTCACAATGATCTGATAAGAAATTTAACAGTTTTGAAGCGATCAAATACTCGAAAGTTGTCAATGAATCTGATCCAATACCATTTTCAATTTTCTCTGACGGTTGAGAAAGACTACTTGTTCTTGTGGTCTGAGGTAAATTATTCTTGTAGTCACCCCACTGTTTGTGTTCGTTTGGAATAGTTGATGAATTTAATGATGATGATGACGGGGTTAAATTATCATGGAAATTGTGTCTTTCCTTAAGGAGTTCATGAAGAAATTTTTCAATATCATAACATTTGGCTAAATCGGCAAGACTGGGAAATCGTACAGCTAAGAAGTAGATTATACGAAGCAAATAAGTTGCTAAAATGTTTCGTTTCAATGAATAAAAACAGAAAGAAATTTAAATTGAGAGAAATCAGGTTTTCAATAATTATAATAAGTGATTGATTACAATAGGGATAGAAGTGACTGGTTCTAAGAGTATTAATCAAGTCTCAAAGTATATTAGGATATAAGACGTTTGATAGACGATACTCGATAATGTGACCATATAACACGAGCTGTCTGAAAATACTTATAGTAAGCTGTCATCAGAAGTGTAGTTCTTCAACACTCCTTACTTCCCCAATTCTATAGGAAAATTTCTAGAACTACCGATTTGTTCCTGACTTTTCAGGGATTGATTTCCTATCACATCAACTTATTGAATTAAAATATGTAGATGAGATAGTTTTGTTTGATGAAGACGCTGACAAAATTCAGTCTTATAATAGCCTTGAAAAACGATGCAAGCATACTTAGGATATCCTTCTCCCCCCTTCTGAATGCAAAATACTGCTTTAGGACTGGTCTTCACCAACTATTAAATTGATTTTAGGGAATGAAGTGGCTAATTGTGTTGATAGATTCACTCACCTTTGAAAGTTCATCAACTCTAGAGGGCTGGTGACTGACTAAATCTCAACATGGATTCGTAAAACACCCTTAGCTTTTACCGACTTGTGTCACATGTAGTGTGTACGAGATATCCGTCTAGGATGACTATATTGCATAACAGTACGCTCTGCATTACACTATGGATGTGAAACAAAACAGCCTATAAAAGAAATACGTAGGGTATAAGTATCAAATCACAGGTTTCTTAGAAGTACTGTTCGCCTTTGGTAGAACAACCTGACGAATGAGTATACCTGTCCCAGTTTATAACTGTCAATAATATTTTATTAATTTTACAGTCTATTATATCAAGTTAAAATAATATTCAATACTTAACTCATTCACTCGGTAATTGAATATGAACCACACTCTAGGTGTCATGATGGCTAGTTGCTACGGCACCGGGTTGCTCGGGACCGTGTTAGGTGGGGTGAGGACTTACATAGTGGTTGAAAGCTGAACGCCTTAACCATTAAGTTATAGGTCCCACTTCAAGTTACAATATGTGTTTAATTTTTAAAAAAAGACTAACCCAGCCGTACGAAAAAGCAGAAAATCGCCAACTTACTATCGATTGGATATTTAAATGATTTTTCACTTGTTACAGCTAGATGTAACAAATAACTTCCCAATTCTAACGCTTCAATTTCACTGAGCTTTTATAGTCGTCCGAATCGACATTGAAATGGAAAAAAAGGAAAACAGTAGAAACCAATTATTTAATTAATAATTTAGATAGAATGCAGGATAAATCGTGGAAATCGGTCTAGAGTATATGTCTGACCCACAAGACAGTGGAGCGTCGTAAAGAGATGCAGTCCCATGGTAGCCACTGGCCAACGTTCATACGCCGTTTGTTCCCTCAGGGTACTGAAGCGCATGTGCACCATTGGTTTAGGATGGGGGTTTTCCAAACTCCTCTAGGTGGGCTTTCTGTGTCCACCTACCCGGTTAAAGCACCGGACATTCACTTTTCGTCCTCTCAATTTTGTAAACAACACTCCCGCCACGAGAAGGCAGTGATTAGGATTTCCCTGGTAGTGGCTGTATACGCGTGGGCAAGTGAGAGCATTTCGCGAGGGAGATCTCACTTTCTCCAGTCTTGACCGTATCAAGGCTTTTGAGCTTTTTGCCCAACTTCAAAACAGGTTTAGAGAACTTAAATCTATGCCTTTATCTTACTTATCACACTTGGAATACTTCAAATAAGTCAGTGTACTCGAATTATCTTTTTTATTTATAATATCTGATATCGTAGTTGCTGATTAGAGACTTGGAAAGATATGGCTCAAAATCGTTTGCAATGGCACAATTGTATCCATTTTTTGTATTTCCCAAAACTCTGAGATCCTACCTACTGTTTTTCCTTTTATTTCACCAATATATATTTTCTTTTTGAGTCGTATTTTGTATGCTCAATCTTTCCTATTACCTCTGATGCTGTTACTACCTCAACTATTCTGGGACTTGGCCTGATAACTTGAGCGGAAAGGAGAAGCTTGAATTTCCAAAAAAATTATAAAAATTTTATGTTTACCGAGTGATTTCTAGGGATGAAGCATTCCCGACATTTGGATAGTTGCGTTTTTCAAAAATCTGTATCGTTCATTCAATTTCCTCACTACACCAGTTATATTATTGTTCTGACGTTATATATATATATATATATATATATATATATATATATATATATATATATATATATATATATATATATAACCCAAAGTACTCCGAAAGTCAATAAGTCTATTATAAAATAAGTATCAGAAAACGTAATTCTACATATAGCTTCTAATGACAATTATTCAATCCATTGCGGTTCCGAAAACAATACAATGTACAGTTCCACAAAACTCTATTTCTCTAATTTGAACCAATAGTACAACTAGTTCACAACTTTATAATACGAAAAGTAAAACAAATATTTAACAATAAAATTAGTAAGCGAACAAACGAAGACATAAACGAACAACAAAGAACAGATATATTGTGGATTGATTGAAGTCAGACTTGTACACCATTGGATCCTGACTCAGTGGTCTATAGAGTAAGCGTTAGCACGCGAAAATGAAGGTTTAATAATCAGTGACGGGCTAGTAGAGGCGCACTGAAGAGTCCCATATTAGGACAGAGCAGGACGTTGCCTAACTTATATCGGTTCGTGATCTTAATTTTCAAAAACAAACACAAAAACTCACCGTTGGATATAAGGAAATATTATGAGCCAACGCTAAGCCGACCAGTTTATGTTCTGGTAATAAATTTGGTAAATTACTAGGTGTTAGTACAGTTGGTAGTGTGGTAGCAGAACCCATCATCTCTTTGGATAAGTGATTTTCAACATCATGATTCAAGAGAGTTAAACTAATTTGCATAATACTATTTATATCTAGCTTCATATCATTATCACGCATAATTGTCCAGTTGAACGATAAACCTAAACAATTGCAAAGCTGAAAAGAAACACAAACAGAGATAATAGTTTGAAAAAAACAAGCAAGCAAAAGAACTTACCACCAAAAAAGAAAGAAATTTAGTTCATACACTAAGGTTTGTACTTTCCTCCGCATTACTAAAATAATTTAAATATTCGAGGTAGTTTAGATGGTGGAAAAAGTTTGTAGCTCAGGTGGATGACCTTGATGGAGTTTCATTCTCTGAACTGGATGTTTACATTTTGGGGCTTTCATTGTTCTTCTGAACATCATCAGCACGAACTTCAGGTAGAAGTGAAGTATTTAAATTGCGCCATCTATGATCCAAAGCTTGTCCTGTCGACCTCGATCTTGATTGGTTACCACTGACTTTTAACTGTGGCGGTGTGCCTGAATAACTGGGCTACCTGCTTCTGACATCTAGATATTTCAACAAGTTGTATGTTCTTTTGTTTGTTTTAACACATAATTATGTCTATTAAAAGCATGACCTATCAAGTTGTGTTTATGAAATATTTACAACCTTTCGCTGTACAAGTTACAAAAAGGTACAATCAGAGACACCGTGGTGGTTGGCAATATCCATTGAAACGAATGAATATTATTCAGATGTTGATTCCTGAACTGCTAACATTTAACTGGCGATCAATCAATAATTTTGTAATTTCCGATGTCTTTTATATATATTAGGATGATCCGATTGTTGGTTTTTATACTTGAAAGGTCTACGACCAAGCAATCCAGCTCAGAGAACAAAAATCCACCAGAAGTAGTTTAGACACTTGGTTTACAGTCAAAACTGTTCCATGTTTCAACCCTAAATTACTTCAGTTGTGGCGACCGAGTAGGATATCACTAGCCTTCATACAAAGTATGATTCAAAGTCGATTATATATACCTACAATGAGTTAATGAGTACACACCACTTTGAATGTGAAACGTAATCTTTAAATGTAGTGTATATTAGTAAGTTACTAGTATTTTAAATAAAGAAAGTAACCCATAGTATCATCGAAGAAATAAAGACAATTCAGCGATATGGTTTACTGAGGCTGTACAATCGTACTCATAGTTAATTTACAAATAACATGCATAACATGCAAATAACGAGCATGAAGAACAAATTCAAAACGCAAAGATGATAATAATGAATAACTAAAAATAAGAGACTGATCAATTGCAGTCCTAAACATGAAGAGGAAGATTTAAACAAACAACATCTGACCAGAGTTTATATTTTTTTAGAATTGAACTGTTCACTGATTTGCATTCACCTTTCGAAAGTCGTGCGTGACGATGTTCGGGGACGCTTTTGAAAAGCGTTTGCTTTGTGCTACCTATGTAACCTGCTTCATAACAGAAAGTGAACCTATAAATATACATTGATGTGGCCCAATGAGAGAGTTTGTTTTTGACACATCCACGAATAATGAGACAATGAGAAAGGACGACGCGAAGCTTGAAAGCATAAAACATTTTCCTCAAGGACTTCGTTAGACAATTCTTTTAAATTTCCACAGCAGTATCACCCTTTAACTTAATGTTCACAAAACCTGAGTGGATAGCCGATTTTGCGAAATATCTGTCAGAGTTTGGATAGTTCCTCATCCATTGTATCTCCGAGCATACTTGATCAATAGCGTATTCAAAACACTGCTTCCGTAAGTCATGACCATCAAGTGAGTAATGTTGAGGTTAGAAGTAGTGTACTAGACCAAACTTTTCAGTTAGCTGATGAGATTGAAAATCTACCGAATGTGAGGCGGTCGTGAAATGTATCACTCATCCCTAACAACCTCTTAACTGTAGTTTATGGGAATAGTATGGCGTCAGCCCATCAAGTCATCGACTGTTGGATTGAACTATGTTGGTGAGTACAAACTATCTGGATGTAGTTCACATGATCATCGTAACCAATGGTTAAAAGTATCACATAAAACGATTCAAAATCGGTCGCAACGGTACAAACACAATTATTCCCCCTACTCCGTTAGACCCTAAGCTAAAAAATTACATTACCACTACTCCACAAATTCATTCTTTATACATGAAACATGTTTTTTTTAATTTTTAATGATCTCCTATCGTCATTGATACTATTACTTCTATTAATTCGGTATTCATCTTGATAATTTCATCTTTCTGTGTTCATGATGTAGTACAGAAACATGAACCAATTCATGCTGCGTCTCCGAAACGCGCATACAAGATCCGAGTAGTGTCATTCATTTGACCTCACCTAATCAAAATAAAGTTTCATCTCTATACACGCTTCGTGTATCTGAAAGCCCTGATGCTGCTTCCCGTGGCCTCGCTGGAGTAGGTATAGCATTAAGTCCTAGGGCAGAACTAGCTCTTTTAGACTGGATCCCAGTAGACAGTCGTCTATGTGCTGTCCGACTAAACGGATCAGTAAGGACCCGGAAAGATAGGGAAACTCGTCGTTGCCTCTTCGTCGTCTCTGCCTACTCTCCCACTGACTGCAGCTCAGACGATATAAAAGATGAGTTCTACAGGAAACTTTCTGACCTTCTCCGAGAAGCTAGGCGTTCTGATGTATTAATAGTGGCTGGTGACTTTAATGCTCAAGTAGGTAAACTAAGTGAAAGGGAAAGACACCTGGGTGGATCTTATGGTGTCGTGGCTAAAAGAACAGATAACGGCGACCGTCTGTTGCAGCTGTGCTCAGATAACCGTCTATTTCTTGCAAATACTAATTTTAAGCATAAGGAAAAACATCTTTTGACATGGCGACACCCGAATTCGTCCCAACGTTGGACTCAATTAGATCACATCGCTATCAGCCACCAATGGAGGGGCTCAATAAAAGACTGTCGCTCATTCTGGAGTACAAGTTTAGACTCAGATCATGCTCTAGTGCGAGCACGTATCTGTCTGCGTCTTACTGGACGTAGGAAAGACACTGCAGGGAAGCCTCTAAGGGTTCTACTTAATGGTAGGCAAGCTAAGAATATATTTCAGAAACAACTGGAAAACAGTTAGACAGACATGCAAGTTGTGCCCACCCCGAAGCAGCATGGAATGACATCCGTAAAGCTGTGAAAACAGCAGTGATATCAGCTAGTAAGGTAAACCATAAGGTCAGGGAGAAACAATGGATCTCAACAGCATCTACCGCACTGATAGATGCTCGTAAACTCATCCCACCTGGCTCTGAGCATAACGGAGAGCGGAGTCAACTTAAGCGCAGGCTAATAAGAAGCCTACGCAATGATCGTGAACAGTGGTGGGTAGCGAAAGCAAGAGAGATGGAAAAGGCAACGGCAACAACAGACAACTGTTCAGATTTGTTAAGGAAACCGGTATTAGGAACCCAACTGTCAGCGAAACTATCTCAGACAAAGATGGGCATATCATTCATTTTCAATCCAGGAGACTGGATCGATGGGCAGAACACTTTAGGGATCAGTTCAACTGGCCTTCAGCCACACTTCAGTTACCCACGATCCCCAGTTGTCCAGAACGGAAAATTGATGTAAGTGCTCCAACCCTCTGCGAAGTTGAAAAAGCTATAAGAAATCTAAAGCGAGGGAGAGCACCAGGCCCTGACAGGTTTACTCCTGAGATTTTTAAGGATGGTGGTCCAGTAATAGCAACGAGATTGACTGGGGTCTTAGGTAGAATCTGGGAACTGGACGTAATTCCATCTGACTGGTCCCAATCACTGATTGTGCCAGTCTATAAGAAAGGACAAAAGTCCTCTTGTGACAATCACAGAGGGATCAGTTTGACTAATATAGTGTCTAAAATACTAGCTTAAATAATACTTGGACGCCTAACCAAAGCTCGTGAAAAGCAGACTAGAGAAAAACAGGCGTGGACGTGGTTGCATAGACCAGATTTTCACTCTACGTCAGGTCCTAGAACATAGACATACATTCAGACGTCCCACAATAGTAGTATTTCTTGACCTTAAGGCGGCATTTGATTCCATGGATCGTGAGGTTCTATGGCAGTTTTTGTCACTGAAAGGAGTACCAAAGAAGTACATTAACCTCATAAAGGCTCTCTACTCGAACACAACTGGTCGAGTTAAAGCCTATGGCGAACTGTCATCAGAACTGACTACCTCAAGTGGTGTTCGTCAGGGCTGTCCACTCTCTCCATTCTTGTTTAACTTTGTCACTGACATGCTTTTAGAGATAACACTTTCATTTTCTCAATCTCCTGGAGTTGAACTTTCACCGGGAGGCTCACTTATTGACTTAGAATACGCCGACGACATAGTTCTACTCGGTGAAGACACTGACAACATGCAGAGTCTTCTGACCACTATAAGCAACTATGCAGGCATGTTCGGGATGCTATTCTCTCCCTCGAAGTGCAAAATGTTACTTCAGGATTGGGTTGCAGCGACACCTGAACTAATGATAGGGAGTGAAGTAGTTGAGCGTGTTGACAGCTTCACTTATCTTGGGAGTCTCATCAGCCCTTGTGGTCTGGTATGTGACGAAATCTCAGCACGGATACAGAAGGCTCGTCTAGCTCTCGCCAACTTGCGTCATTTATGGCGTAGGCGAGATATCCGTCTACCAACCAAAGGACGAGTTTACTGTGCAGCAGTTCGCTCCGTCCTACTTTATGGAAGTGAAACATGGCCAATAAGAGTAGAGGATATTCGTAGGCTACTAGTGTTCGATCATAGGTGTCTTCGACTCACTGCTCGTATATCCTGGGACCACCGGGTAAGTAATGCAGATGTTAGGGAACGGGTACTAGGTAAGGATGGCAAATCGATTGATGAAGTAGTGAAACTTCATCAGTTGAGATGGCTGGGACATGTGTTACGTATGCCCAACCACCGACTGCCCCAACGCGCAATGCTTTATGGTGCAGGAGCAGGTTGGAAGAAAGCTAGGGGTGGCCAGACCAAAACATGGCATAAATCCATGAAGTCGCTGACAAGTGGACTGGGCCATGTTGGTAGGTGTAGACTACCTGGTTGGGATTCGCGAGATGATAGCAACCGATGGTTAGAGACCTTGAATGACATGGCTCAAAATCGTTTGCAATAGCGAAGGTGCATCCACTCTTTGTGCTCTACCAAATCCTAATCTTCTGAATTCCACATGCACCTATCCTTCTTCTCTTTTCAAATTTATTTCATTGTATTATACTCCTTCAATAACATCTTCAAACCCTAATCTTTCACATAATGCTTATACTCTTACTACTTCTACCACTATGGGATTTGAATCGACAACTTCATCTCTGTGCTTATGTGGTATGGCAACTTAAACTAATGTACGTTTATTTATTTATTTTATTTATTTAAACACATATATATTGGTACAAAAGGGCACCAGGTACATATGCGCCACACAAAATAATGAAAGTAGGAAGAGAAGGGATGAAAAGATAAGGCGGACTAAAATGTACAACCAGAAGACTCTTTCAGTTAAGAAAGTTAGAACCATACTTTATGTAGAAAGTAAAAGAAGGTTGCAGCAGGATCGCCACTGGTTTCTATTCTGAGCCATATCTGATAACGTCTCTAGCCACTGTGTTGCACCATCTCTCGGACCCCAACCAAGGAGTCGTGAAGGACCAACAGAAGCTAGCCCTTTGCAGCTCTCTTTCATGCCACGACACCATGTCATACACTGACCTCCTCTCCGCTTTTTCCAACCAGTCCCAGGGTCGGCAAATAATGCACGACGTGGAAGTCTCTGGGACGACATTCGTAAAACATGTCCAAGCCACCGAAGTCGGTGTTTCAAGATGGTGACACCAATTGAATTATCGTCTCTGTGCCCGAACACACGATGCCGAACCTCTGCATTACTAACATGGTGTTGCCACTGCATGTCAGCAATCCTTCAGAGACAACGATGATCGAACACAGAGAGACGTCTAACATCCTCAACTCGGAGAGGCCAGGTTTCACAAGCATAGAGCAAAACTGCTCTCACCGACGCGTTGTAAATCCGACTTTTTACAGCCAGACTAACATCACGAAGGCGCCAAAGATGGCCAGATTGGCATAAGCCGATCTGGCTTTCCTTATACGTGCATCAATCTCATCACTCACGCCACCACCAGCACTTATATAGCTACCTAGATACACGAAATTCTCAACTACTTCGATCTCCTCACCATCCAGGGTGAGTACAGGATGAGAATCCTGCCAGTCTTGTAGGAGTACCTTGCACTTGGAGGGTGCAAAGCACATACCGTACCTGCGGACACTGATTGCCAACTGATTAAGTGCTGATTGCATGCCTTGGGCATTATCGCACAGTAAGACAATATCATCCGCATACTCAAGGTCGAGAAGTCGTTCTCCAGGCAACATATCCACACCGCCATTACTTACATCCATCAGAGCTGTTTCCAAGATGTCGTCGATGGCAAAGTTGAAGAGGAATGGTGAGATCGGGCAACCCTGCCTAACCCCACTGCTCGAATGGAACAAGGGAGAAAGGTGGTTGTATGCCCTCACTCTGCCTGAGGTGTTCGTGTACAGGGCCTTTAAGATGTTAATGAACTTCTCAGGCACACCCTTCTTCAATAGACAATCCCAGAGAACAGTCCTGTCCAACGAATCGAAGGCAGCCCTGATATCAAGAAACACTACGATTGTTGGCCTGCGATAAGTATGACGGTGTTCTAACATTTGGCGGAGGGTGAAGATGTGATCAATGCATCCTCGACCAGAACGAAAACCAGCCTGCTCCTCGCGAGTCAATCGTTCTCGGGTTTTAAACAACCTACGAAGAATGATAGAAGCCAATAGTTTGGACACAATCGGAAGTAGACTTATCCCCCGATAGTTATTGCAGGAACAACGCGAACCCTTTTTAAAGATAGGGACGACTATTGACTCATTCCATGATGTTGGAACACTTTCTTGCTCCCAAACCTTTCCAAACAACACAGTCAATTCCTTAGTCAGAAAGTCGCCACCATCTTTAAAAAGAGCCGGAGGTAAGTCATCTGGGCCAGGTGATTTGTAGCGCTTCAAGAGTTGGAGTTCCTTGCGGACTTCCGCCTCGTTTGGTGGATCAGTCGTCACCGGCCATGGGGGGCAGGACAAGCTGGTTGATGTTGCCGGAGCAGCAGGCCAGTTGAACTGCCCTTCAAAAAATTCCGCCCATCGTCCAAGACGTCGGGAGATGTTAGTGATTGGCATCCCATCATCCTCGTAGATTGTTTCACTCACACCAGACTTCTTGCTGCCAGTGGCTCGGATGAGTTGGAAGAGCTTCCGGCAGTTACCAGATGCAGCTGCTGCTTCCATCTCATTAGCACGCTCCGACCACCAGGCTTCCCGGTCCTTACGCAAGCTTTGCCCAATTTCATTACGTAACAGCCTTCGTTTGTGGTCAAACTCACAGTCACTCGGAGTAGACCGACGGGCTTCCATCAGTTGTAAGGAGCCAGAAGAAACCCAGTGCTTGTAAGCGGGACGTATCGCGAAGCCGCAAGCGACTTTTCTCGCCATTTTCATGGCGTCGTGAAGATGCAACCAATGCTCATCTATACTTTTCGGTGGAGTGTTAGCTAGCCTAGTGGCTAGCTCCGCTCGGTACTTACTTGCAACAGGAGTTGCAGCCAGTTTACTAATATCAATCCGTTGGTGGTGGTCAATCCTTCGGCCATTGAAAAGTAAGGTGAGATTGGCGCAGACCAGGGCATGATCAGACTCCAGATAGGTACTCCAAAAGGAGCGGCAGTCTTGTACACAACCACGCCAGCGGTAGCTGATCGCGATGTGATCAATCTGAGTCCAGGCTACTAATGTACGTACATACGAAGTTCTACGTTGTAACTGACTGACACAAATAACTCATTTCATAATCAATATATGTAAATATATAGGAATTGTCAGAGTACGCTCACCTATAGTGATTGTAGCTGAAAGTCTACTACAAATATTTTCTTTATACCCTAATTACAAAACTAAATAATGAATAAAGTGATTTCTTCTTAGACTGACAAAATTCATTGAGGTACATAATAAGGGACGGGGGGAAAATTGAAAGACACTCTGATATTTGATTTTTAAAAAATTAAATAATATAAAGAAAATTTGTCAGTTTAGAACATAGAAAATACGTACTAATTTGGCACGAGATGCTTCAATATCGTAGAATTCACTTGGTTTTACATAAGGTAATTTAACTGTACTTAATTTGTGCAATGGACGTCTTGGATCAGTGAACAAACTCATCAATATATTAGGATCTTTCCATATAGCTAAACGAAATAATTCACATGCTGCTCGACATTGATCACTTGTAATCAACTCATTTAATGCTGTTTTTTGTAAAAAAAAAATAACAATAGAACAAGGTAATAATAACGTAATTTATTCAGAGCTATTAGCATAAAGGTTTGCAGTGACTAATTTTTGTAATTCGAATGACAAGCAGCGGACAGTAGAGTCCAAACGTGTCGAGTTGGTGGCAGTTGCAATATAATATTGCTATTTGATTAAAGTTAGACACAACATTGGATCTCATATCGGTGATCTAGGCGTTCAACGTTCGCACGCGAGACTGAAGGACCCGAGCACTATTCCACAATGTGGGGTCGTAGATTTACACTACGACTGATAAGTACAACTGTTTTTCGTAATTATTCATTTGATTGTGCTCATCCCACTGCTTACGATCGATTGGTCAGTGAGTAGTGACCAGTGTCATGTACGTCAAGTCCTTCTTAGTGCCAATTGATTTCTATAGATCAAATAACAATGAATTGAATCTGACAGAGCATCAATTTCCTCAAGATTACAGGTACACTTTTCTGACGATGGTTAAATAATATTTAAATCCAGGGTTTCCTATAGTCTCATTTCTGTTTGATATATGTGACTCACGTTACCTTTTTCGATTAAACTACACTTACTCCATATTCTTATAACAATTATAGTAATTTACCATTCAGAAATAAAGAATTGAAGACTAAATTTTACTTGTTCTGGTTGTGGTTGTTTTAAGTCCAAACTTTTGACTCGTCAGTATAACAAAATATTTATGAAGAACATACGTATAGGAAAAATAAATCAAAAAATATGTATCGCAAACAATTCTCAAGGTTAAAAAAACAATGATAAAGTTATCCCTAATGAGTAAACAAAGTGAAAACACAGTGATGGACAGAGAACCACAATCCTCTTATTTCATCGAAGACAATTTGTTGTTAACTTTGAATTGAGTCGCTACACATTTATTTATTCATTTATTTGAACACATAAATATTGGTACAAAGGGGCAACAAATACATATGCGCCACACAAATCTCATTTGATTTGTGTGAGGGCTGTGATAATGCTCAGGTGCCCAAACTGAAGCAGGTGGTTTTCTTACGGGGCCACACTCGGAGCCTTTGACCTAAAGATCTAATCCATAAGGCAGTGGAGCATCGTAAGCAGATGCAGTCCCATGGTAGCCGATGACCAGCGATTGGTTCATACGCCATTTGTTCCCTCAGGATCCTGGAGCCCATGTGCACCATTGATTTGGAAGGAGGGTTTTCCAACTCCCCTAGGTGGACTGTCCGTGTCTACTGACCCAGTTAAAGCGCCGGACATTCGCTTTTTGTCCCCTCAATTTCGTAAACAACATCCTGGTGCGAGAAGGCAGTGAGTAGGACTTCCTTGGCAGAGGCTATATACGCGTGGCCATATGAGAGCATTTCGAGAAGGAGGGCGGACTCTCCCCACTCTTGACCGTACCAGGGCATTTGGGGGCTGCTACACAGATACAGTTAGGCATATGTGAGTGATTCAATAGTGCCTAGATAATAAATGGTGGTAACACAGAATGAAACTGGAAAATGCTCGTTAGCAGTGTCTCAACTAGGAGGTCGGAAGGTCTTGAGTTGCATTGAAAGATCTGAAGGATTCAAAAAACTATGTGGTGATTACTTATTGGAAAGCGAAACGATAGTTAAGAAATCCAACTTCCAGCCACTAAGTGACAGGTTTGAACCCTGCCCCACCTACTTCTGTCTAGGCAAGAGGATAGCATCACTAGCCTTTAGTCAGAACGTAGCTTAAAGCCAAGTAGTACACGAATATGCACATGGCAAATAGGTTTTATGTCAGGTTTTTTACAAGAGAATACTCATAAGATAACATTTCTTAGAATATATTTCCAAGTGATGAAAACCAACAACTCCCGTAGTTCTCTAGTTAAGACAAAACAATTCATCTGAATTAGTGATGTATATTAGAAAAGCAATCAATATTACAAAAACTACTTAACAAAGTAGTAAACACTTCAAGTGTTGAACAACAGACTGATGATCGTAGACTTTAAATGCTCATGAAAATCCATGCAGTTTTAAAATTGTACTTATTCAAAATGTACATATAATGGATAAAGTAAGATAGATTATTATTTTACAGAGGCTTCTTAAGCAAACAATATTACGGTTAAGGTTCTAATTGATAGGTTAAATTCAAATCTACCAGTTCACCTGCTCTTGTGGAGCAAGGTACATCGGCCGTAGCCAACGCTCACTTTCAACTCGGATACGAGAACATATACCAGTTTGGTTCTACAATGGTGAAAGGAAAGCAGTTAGAAGTTCTATACTTGAACACTTAATCGACTGTAATCATTCGACGAATCCACAGTCTGATTTTAAGGTTGTTTATATGATTCGTTCAAATCAACCAAGATTTCTTCGTATCAAACTCTTAAAAATAGCCGAAGCTCTTACCATCCACGAGCTCAAACCAGAACTATGCGTACAAAAGAAGTACGTTTTATCATTATCGTTACCATGGCCTTAATATTATTATTATTATTATTATCATTCCATTATTATTATTATTATTATTATTATTATTATTATTACTCCATTCCCCCTTTACTTATGTTTTATATTCGCATTATTTTATTCATGAATACTTATCATATCATCTTGGTTATTTTACACCTCTATGACCTTTAATTATTGTAAACAAAACATTTTGTTCGTCTTATTCTATTCATTAAATCTATTATTATTCGTATTACGTAATCTAGTATTATAATCTTGGTTATTATTGTTCACATTTACTCACGGAATTAGTACTTTAACAAAACATTTTCATATATATATACGATTGTACAGCTTGATAATAAATTCGTTGAAAAGAGATCCCTTCGCTGAAATTCGTGTTTTAATTTTAAATTCAAATTATATATATATATACATGTATATTAGAGTAAAGCCTGATGACGATCTAATTGAAAACAATTGTTCGCTTACATATGTTGTTCTAATTTTCACAATGGGAATCACGTGGGGACCCTGTTGCATTTAAGGCACTCAATGAGTTCCTGACGTTCAGTGCACGTCTCATAGAAGCGAAAACGAACTTAGGATTTACTATAAACTGCATACAATCTAACAGTTATCCTAAAATATACTGGAATTCTTTACGCCGCAACAGAATCTATCCTAATGCAAAAACTCTTGAAAGACATGCATCGAATCAAATCGATACATTAAAAATGAAAATCTATGACTTGGAAAGGAATCTCCTTCAGAGACAAGATTCCGTTGAAAACCTACCGTCTGAGCTTCAGTCAATGTTCATGGATTACGTTGAAAAAATTGGCAAGAATAGATCGGAGAAGACGATGACAAAACTGGTGAAAACTTTGGAAAACAAAAAACCAGATAAGGAATTTCCTTTCGACCCGAAACGGTACGTACACAATTTTTCAAATATCGAACTAGATGTAATACAGCTAGAAGCATTATCTTTGGGGCCTAAGTTCTGTGATAGTAGACATAAAATCAACCCATTAGATATTGATGTACAGTTTGAGAATCTATTTTCACAAACAAGTGACTTGATTCCCACCTCATCAGAGGACCTAGTCAGGTTTAAGACCACTTTAGTTGACAGCAGCCAACAATATAAGAATAGTAAAAGTACTACTAACCGCCTACTTACCAAGCAGCACCGAGACTGTTTAACTAAACTAAGAAAGGAGGAAACCTTGATTATAAACAAACCTGATAAAGGAGGAGGCATAGTGCTGATGAATAAAAAGGACTACGTTGAAAAGATGGAAACAACGCTCAATGATCCCCGCAAATTTCAAAAAGTCACCAGTCATTCCGATATCAATAAAAAAGTAGAAAACCAGTTGACTAACTCACTTAAGAATTTAAAGAATAAGGGAATAATTACAAAAGAGATTCTTGATTCTATCAAACCGTCTGGATCTTATACGCCACGACTGTATGGTTTACCCAAAGTTCATAAACCAGGTCTTCCACTGCGCCCAGTCCTAGATATGTTCAATTCCCCTTATCATAAAATTGCAAAGTGGCTAGTACGTATCTTAGAGCCCTTGCACAAATCAATTGCTAGTACGAATGTAAAAGATGTATTCGACTTCACTTCCAAAGTGGAAAATATGAATGTTAGTATGAAAAATATGTTCTCATTAGATGTAGTATCCTTGTTTACTAACGTACCACTTATGGAGACTATTGAGTTCATATGCGAGCAAATAACTGAAAAACAAATCAACATTGGCCTGCCGGAAGATTGTCTGAAAGAACTGCTTTTAAGATGTGCACTGAATGTTCATTTCGTCTTTAACAATTCCTATTATAGACAAATAGGCGGAATAGCCATGGGTTCACTTCTAGGCTCATTCTCGCTGATCTCTTCTTAGCTAAGCTAGAAAATGGCCCACTTAAGGAGGCTATTAAGAAGCTCGATCTATACTGCCGCTACATCAACGATACATTCATAGTCGTGGATCAGAACACCAGTAAGGATGAACTACTAGAACAGTTCAACAGTGTACATCCAGCGATTAGCTTCACTGGTGAAGGCGAGTGTGACACGAAGCTGAATTTCCTTGACGTTACACTAAGCAGGCGAAGTGATGGCTCGTTAAGTAGAAGCGTGTATAGAAAAAGACCCTCTGCCTGCCAATACACTCACTTCTATAGCTTTACACCTATCCAATATAAGAGAAACTTGGTTAGATGCCTCACTAGTAGAGCAAATAAGATCTGATCTGTTGATACTTTAAGTCAGGAACTGAAATTTATCTATATCTCACTGACTGAGATCGGCTACCCTGCTGCGTTCATCAAAAAGTACATGTATGATACAAGGAAGAAATCGGAGATTTTAACTGTTCGTAAGAAGCCTCTATACATGAAATTACCATTCAACGGGGATGTAGCTAGTGAAACTCTGAAAGGTAGGTTAACAAAAGTAATTAATAGAATTTTCTACGCAGCCTATCTTGCATTGACTTTCTCGAGTCGACCAGTGATGTCTACTC